AACATATAAAGAATAATTGTTTACAATATAAAAGAAAAAACGACGAAAACGTACGGATATGTAATGAATGGCCTAACGATCAAACAAATTGATTATACTTTTTTTGGTGGTTCGCAGACTGTCAAAATGTATGTCACATATTGATGATATATTATTAACAATATCAGACATGATAAATATAGGGGATTTACGCAGAGTATTAGTCCTACATGTAGCTGAATAGATTGTTGTCAATTGTCGCACATTTAATCGAGGTACTATAAAATTTATTTTATTCAACAGCCACATGCAGTCTATTCTGTTGTTCAATAATTTGTACATAAAAACTATACTTAATATTTTGCGCCTTACTGCGAGTGAAGTATAATTAAATCTCCCTAGCAATGTTAAATGGTCATACCCTCTAACCGGATAGTTTCCGTCTTTAACAAAACACAAAAATTTTAAAAATCGCCTTTGTACCGATTCTAAACGATTAACATGAACCTCATATATTGGCGACCACACAATAGCACAATACTCTAATCTACTACGCACTAATGTAAAATACAAAACACTTAGCGTTTGTGTATCTTGAAAATCTCTACAGTTTCTAATAATCAGACCATACATAGCGTATGCTTTTTTAACAATCTCTGTTATATGCAATACAAATGTGAACTTGTCGTCGAATAATACTCCCAGGTCCCGTGCAGTCTCATTACGCTGTAGAATGGTGGTACCTATTCTGTAAGAAAATTCTGTTTTGATAAACTTTCGAGAGAACGTCACAACGAAACATTTAGATATGTTTAGTTGAAGCCGGTTCCTGACGCACCAAGTTACTAAAGCATCTAGGCATCTTTGTAACTTTTCGCAATCAGCTGAAGAGCGAATTTCCAGGAATAATTTTAAGTCGTCCGCAAACAACGATTTATTACAAGATACTAGTGCATCCGTCACATCGTTAATGAAAATTAAGAATAGCAGGGGGCCGAGATTTGAGCCTTGCGGGACTCCCGATATTGAGATGTACACTTCAGAAAAATGCCCGCCATGTAGAACTTGTTGTCTTCGATTAAAGAGATAAGACTTCATTAAGGCCAATAACGGGGTTGAGAAGCCAATACGATCTAATTTATGAATTAAGATGTTGTGGTCAATTTGATCGAACGCTTTTTGCAGATCTGTATACATGGCATCTACCTGACTATTTCTATCTATTACTTCCGATGTAAATTGCGTAAAAGTGGCTAAATTCGTGGCAGTGGAAGGCGCTTTCATGAAATTGTTTAGTTTTTAATTTAATTAAATACGTATTTGGTTTTATAAAATTTTACATTTTTCGATTTCTCAATATTCTTCAATTTTTAGATTTCTCGATTTTTTAGTTTTTCCATTTTTCAATTTTCGATTTAAAATTTTAGATTTTTCAATTTTTCAATTTTTAATTTTTGTGGTGTTTTGGATTTTTCGTTTTTAAATTTTATAAAATTACGTACTCCTCCATTTGTGGTTTATGAATCCGTATTGAGTTTTTACCTTAGGAGTCCGGATTTATGGAAAAAATCAAAATTTTATTACAAGAATTTACAATTTAACTTTGAAATTGAAAAATCGAAATGTTTTGAAATGTTGCAAACTCTTTAAATCTAACTCTATAGAATAAATATTATTTAAATATTAGCAAAATAGTCCTGAACTTGTGGTTTATTAATCCGTGTTGAATTTTTATCATAGACAACGAGATTCTTGAAAAAATCAAAAATGTAGATATAACAACTTTTCGATTTCTTAATTTTTCGATATTTCAGTTTTGATGTTCTTTGACTTTTCAATATTTCGATTTCTCGATTTTCGATTTTTCTGTTTTTCAATTAAATTTTTCGAATTTTCAGGGTTTTGATTTTCAAATTTTGTGATTTCTCAATTTTTCAGTTTTTCAGTTTCTCAGTTTTTCGATCTTTTCAGTTTTGGAATTTTTCACATTGTATTCTGTTGGACAATAAATTTTATCTTATCTTATTTTATCTTATATTAAGGATTCTTCAATTTTTCAATTTTTCGATTTTTTAATTTTTCAATTTTTCAGTTTTTCGATGTTTTAATTTCTTACTTTTTGGATTTTTACTTTATATTATGTTTAATTTTTAAATACCTATTTTGATTTTATATTTTAATTTTTCAATTTTTCGATTTTTCAACTTCTCAGTTTTAGATTTATCAGTTTTTCAATTTTTCGATTTCCCTATTTTTCCAATTTTCGATTTCTCAATTTTCCGGTGTTGCAGTTTTACAATTTTTCAATTTTTCGATTTTTCAATTGTTGGCGTTTCTAAATTCTATAGTTTTCGATTGCTCAATTTCTCGATTAATCGATTATTTGATAAGATTTCTCAGTTATTCAACTCAGATTTTTGATTTTTAAACTTAGCGATTTCTCGATTTTTCAATTTTTCGATTTTTGAATTTTTTAATTTTGCCATTTTTTGTTGGTTTGATTTCTCGCTTTTTCAATTATTCAATTGTTCCATTTTTAATTTAATTAAAAACGTATTTTGATTTTATAATATTTTAATTTTTCAATTTTAAAAATTTTACATTTTTCGATTTCTCAATATTCACTTTTCTGCGACATTTCTGTTTTTCAATTTTTTGAATTTTTAAATTTTGGATTTTCAACTTCTCGATTTTAGATTTTTAGCTTTTTCAATTTTTCGATTTCCCTATTTTTCCAATTTTCTTTTTTCGACTTTTCGATTTCTCGATTTTTCAACATTTGTTTCTCATTTTTTCGATATTTTGGTGTCGATATTTTTCTAATAATTACAGAATCAACTTTTTCAATTTTTTAATTTTTTGATTTTTTAACGTTTCAATTTTTCAATTTTTTATGTTCCTAAATTTTCCATCTTTCGATTTCTCAATTTTTCGATTAATCGATCTTTTGATTTTTCTGCTTATCGATTTCTCGATTTTTCGACCTTCGGACTTTTCGATTATTTGTTTTTTCCATTTCCCATGCCTCCACTTCTGGATTTCTGGATTTATCGAATGTTTATATTTTTATTCTTCAATTTTTAGATTTCTCGATTTTTTAGTTTTTCGATTTTTCAATTTTCGATTTAAAATTTTAGATTTTCCAATTTTTTAATTTTTAATTTTTGTGGTGTTTGGATTATTCGTTTTTTCAATTTTTCAATTTTTTACCTCCTTAAATTTTCGATTTTTTGATTTTGCCATTTCTTGATTTCTCGGCTTTTGAATTTTTCAGTTCAATTTTTTTATTTTTCAGGCTTTTAATTCTTAAACTTTATCGCGACTTTTCAATATTTCAATTTCCCAATTTTTCGATGTTTCAGTTTAGGGATTTTTCACATTTTCAATTCTTACATTTTTTTTTAATTTTTAATTTTTTGATATTTCAATTTTGGGATTTTTGAATATTTCGATTCTTCAATTTTTCGATTTTTAGATTTATCGATCTTTTGATTTTTTTTTTGTTTCTCAATTTATCAATTTTTCAATTTTTAAATTTTGGATTTTTCAAATTTTTAATTCTTCAATTTTTAATATACCTATATTACATTTTAATATTCTGGTGTTAAGACATATTTTACTTTTTCAATTTTTAAAATTACGTTTTTTTGATATCTTAGTTTTTCAGTTCTGCGATGTCTTTTTTGCAATTTTTTGATGTTTTAATTTTTGGATCTTTCGATTTTTCGACTTTTCGGTTTTTCAATTTTTCGATTTTTCAGTTTTTCAATTTTTAAATGTTTAGATTTTTTAATATCTCCATTTTTCGATTTTTTTATTTTAGATTTTTCAATTTTTCAAATTTTAACTTTACAAGTTTTCGACTTTTCGGCTTTACGATTTTTCAATTTTTCCGTTTTTAAAGTTTAGATTTTCCAGTTTTTCAATTTTTCGTTTTTTTGATGTTTCGTTTTCTTGATTTATCGATTTTGCAATTTTTCGAATTTTTAAATTTTTGATGTTTCAGTTTTTTGATTTTTCGATTTTTCGAATTTATGATAAACCCGGTTTACACAACCTCAATTAATTATTTAATTGCGATTTAATTTTTAACCCCGCGTTGAAGTACCATGTGACCGACTCTACGCTAATCAGACGTTGCTAATGGCCTTGTTAAATGCGCGATCAACTTAATCTCAGTTAAAATATTGTATAAACTGGCCCTAAATTGTGTTATTCTTTATTTTTGTACTGAGTTACTAGAAAATTAAATGTTAAAATTATCCAAACAAATTTAACACATTTTTTTGAAAACAAAGGAAGTTTAGTTATTCCTTTTATTAAAATAAAACAAATTTTTAAGGTAGTCAGAGAAATAGAAAAAAAAAAACACACTGTCTGTCGCATTTATAAACCGGTTTTAGCAAAGCCGAACAGTCGGCCGACTAGTCGGTTTTTACTGGCCGAACAATCGGGTAGTCGGTTAGTCGGCCAGACCTACAGTCGGTACATCTCTAATTTTTTGATATTTTGATTACTCGATCTTTCGATTGATTTTTCGACTTTTCGGATTTAGATTTTTCGATTTTTCTCTTTTTGAACTTTGAAATTTTTTTAATTTCTCAGTTAATCGATATTCCGAAGTTTCAATTTTTCGATTGTTTGATATTTCGTTTTTTCAATTTTTCGATTTGTCAGTATATTTCATATTGTTCGCATTTCTGGGAAGTTCTGTGAAAATATTGCTAAATCGCTGTATTTTGGAAACATTGGTCGAAAGTGAATCTTTCCAAAATACAGCGATTTAGTAATATTTAACATAATAAGGGACAATCATGAAGTTATTTCAAAATAATTTAGAAGTGATTTCTCATTGGTATTTAGAAAGCAATTTGTATATGTTGTAATTGTAAAATATTTTGTAACACTGATGCACGACAGGGACGTTGGATAAATCTGCATCTATACTAAGAGTTATATATTATCTTATTATCTGCAAAGCTAAAATTTTTGGGAAGCGCTGATCCTGGTGTTGGTTTCAGGTCGACGCCGAGCCGCCAGCGTCCTTTTTCCGGTGGAGTTTTAACAGCACTCCGGGGATCTCGAGGGAACTGAGCGAGTTCACCACCGACCTCGGCACCAGCATGTTGACGTACGTGCCGAGGGCGCCGGCGGACTACGGCACTCTGCAGTGCTGGGGCAGGAACGAGATCGGCTCGCAAAGCGTTCCTTGCAGCTACCATATCGTCCCTGCAGGAAAACCCGACCCGCCGCACACGTGCACGGCCGCCAACGTCACGCACCATTCCGTGCTGCTCACGTGCAAGAAAGGCTTCGATGGAGGTGAGTGCTAAATTTTACGACAGCGAATTACGCCACGACCTCATGAGATGGTAATCTTGGCGTTTGTGGTGGTGGATTCGTTTTTATGGTTACGGAGGATAGGCGCAGTTAGCATTTCAGGCGGAAGCTTATCCTCGATCAAATAGAAAAAAATGTGTGCTACAACTTGTTGAAGTTTAATCAACACATGGCAGTGTATTAACAAATCCAAGTTGGGAACAAATTAGCGATAAATTAAGTGTTTTTACTGCCCGAGCTGAGCTGACGAAGTTCTGTAATTGAGTCCATCGAATCTACTTACATTTTTCTCGACGTTTCATGACCCCCGTCTCTGTCTGTCTATCTGTTAGGAAGATAACCTCCGTTCTTAAATTTTGTATGTGTCTTAGGAGTATACATATATGATGAAACGCTAACTAAATTTGGCTAATCATCCCAATGGGATAACGTCATCAATGTACAAAACTTACATTAGTAAATGTTATTTACATTTTATAAAATAAGATACTTCTGCATGTGTAGTTTATGAAGCCGTGTTGAATTTGTACCCTAGATATCCAGATTTTTGAAAAAAAAATCAGAACTTTATAATTTGTCGTTTTTTCAATTTATAAAATTTTCAATTTTTCAGCTTTTCGATGTTTCAATTTCTCTACTATTCGAGTTTCGATTTCTTCGATAGGTATTTCAATTTTTTTAATTTTAAAATTTTCAATTTTGCAATTCCTAGATTTTCCAATTTTTCGATTTACAATTTTTCGATTCTTCAGTTTCTCGATTTCTCAAATTTTCGATTTCTCCAATTTTCCATTTCTCAGTTTTTTATTTTAAAAAATCAGTGATTTTGTTTCAGTTTTATGAGTCTGCAATTTTTTGATTTTTCAATTTTTCAATATTCCAATTTTTTAGCATTTCTAAATTTTCAATTTTTCGATTGAGTTTACAATTTTTTTATTTTTCGACTATGTTTTCGATTTTTTGATTTTTCGGTGCTTCGGTTTCTCGACTTCTCGGTTTTCAGATTTTCAATTCTTCAGTTTTTAAATTTTTTTATTCGTTCATGAAGTATTTTTATGCTAGCCATCGAGATTTTTGGGAAAAAATCAAAATTGCACAATTTTATCGTTTTCTTAATTTCTCGAATTTTCAAGTTTCGATTTACTCAAATTTTCGAGATTTTAGTTTTTTTATTTTCAAATTTTTCAATTTTTTTAATACATATTTCAATAATTTTTTGGCGTTTCCAAATTTTCGATTTTTCGATTAAGTGATTTCTCGACTTTTCGTCTTTTAGATTTTTCCATATTTTGGTTTTCCCATTTCTCGATTTGTCGATTTTTCCATTTTCATAGTTCCAATTCTTCAATTTTTTTATTTTTCAGGTTATTTATTTTTCAATTTCCCAGGTTTTCAATTCTTCGAAATGTCGCTTTTTCGTTGCTTCAGTTTTGAGAGTTTTTAATTTTTCGATTTATCGATTGATCAATTTTTCAATATTTGAGTTTTGGGATTTTTAAATTTTTCGATTCTTCAATGTTTTGATATTTTAATTTTTTGATTTCTTGAATTTCGTTTTTAAAATATTAGATTTTTAATTTTCAGTTTTTCGCTTTTCAAATTTTTCTATTTTTCAGTTTTATCAATTTTTCGATTTCTGTAGATACCCAGATTTCGATGTTTAAAATTTTCGATATTTTTGTAATTAAAATTTTTCACTTTTCCTGTTTAGATTTTTTCTAAATTTAAAATTGTAACTTTTTCAAATTTTAATTTTTCAATTTTGGGCTTTTTCGATTTCTCGATTTTTTCACATCTCCATTTTTCAATTTTTCGACTTCTCGAGTTTCCAATTTCTCAATCTTTTAATGTCTCGATTTCTCGATGTTTCAGTTTTTGAATTTTTCGATGTTTCGATTTTTTGATTTCTCGGTTTTTCGACTTTACGGCTTCCTGATTTTTGAATTTCCCGAATTTTCATTTTTTTGATTCTTCAATTTTTCCATTTTTTTAATTTTAGAATTTTCGATTTCCCGCTTTTTTGATTTTTCAGTTTTTCGATTTTTCAATTTTTCGTTTTTTAAAGTTTACGTTTTCCGATTTTTCGATTTTACGGTTTCTTAATTTTTTAATATTTGATATAATTTTCGACTTTTCAAATTATCCATTTCCCAACTTCTCAATTTTTCAACGTTTAAAATTTTTGGTCTTTACATATTTTAAGTTTTCTATTTCTCAACTTTTCAACACTTCAATTTTGGCAGTTTTTCTATTTCTGAATTTTTCGGTTTGTCGATTTATCAACTTCTCAACTTTTCGATTTCTCAAGTTCTCTATCTTTTGATGCTTCGATTCCTAGATGTTTCAATTTTTCAATTTTTCGATGTTTCGATTTCACGATTTCGCGGTTTTTCGATTTTTCGAATTTTCAATTTTCGAAATTTCGAATTTCCAGTGTTTTCATTTTTCGAATTTTCTATTTTTCGATAACCGAAATTTTTTAATTTGGATTTCTGGATTTTTCATTTTTTCCATTTTTTGACTTTCGATTTTAGAATTTTCGATTTTTCGATTTTCGATATTTCGTTTTTTAAATTTTAGAATTTTAGCTTTTCTAATTTCTCGTCGAACTTCCGATTTTTGGATATTCAAATTTTCAATTTCTTTTCTTTTCAATTTCTCGATTATTCAATTCTTTAATTTTTCAAATTTTCGGTTTTTGATTTTTGAATTTTCAATTTTTCCATCTTCAGTTTTTAGATTTTTAACTTTTCAGTGATTTTATTTTTCGATTTTTTGATTTCTCGCGTTTTCGATTTTCGAAACTCGAATTTTCAATCTTTCTACTTTTCGATTTTTCGACTTTTGATTTTCCGAACTTTTGGTTTTTCAGTTTTTACATTCTTCAGTTTATAAACTGCAATTTTTTTTAATTTTCCATGTTTTGATTTCTCGAGTTTTCGAAACTTCAATTTTCAATCTTTCCATTTTATTGATTTTTCGACTTTTGATTTTTCGAATTTTCGATTTTTCAATTTTTACATTCTTCAGTTTGTAGACTTCTCAAGTTTTTTTACTTTTCGATTTCTAAATTTTCAATTCCATTCTTCAGTTTTTCGATTTTTCGATTTCTCAGTATTCCACTTTTCGATATTCGAATTTTTTTAATGTTGAGTTCTCGATTTTTCTTTTTTTTTTCATTTTTCGACTTTCGATATGTCGTTTCTTGGGTTTTAGAATTTTAGGTTTCCCAATTTTTTGGATTTTCGTTTTATCGAATATTTGATTCATGGAATTGGCGATTTTTCGATATTCGAATTTTCAATTTGTTTCCTTTTCAATTTCCCAATTTTCAATCTTCGATTTTTGAATTTTTTAATGTTCGATTTTTCAATTTTTCCGTTCTTCAGTTTTTGGAATTTTTAATTTGTTTACTTTTCAATTTTTCGATATTCGAATTTTCAATTTTTTTACTTTTCTATTTCCAATTTTTTCATTTTTCAGTTTTTAGATTTTTCAATAGTTTTATTGTTCGATTTTTTAATTTCTCGGGTTTTCGATTTTATTTTCGAAACTTGAATATTCAATCTTCATACTTATCGATTTTTCGATTTTTAATATTTTGAATTTCATATATTTTCGATTTTTCAGTTTTTACATTCTTCAGTTTTTAGACTTTTCATTTTTTTACTTTTCGATTCTCAAAGCTTCAATTTCATTCGATTTTTCAATTTTTCCATTTTTCGACTTTCGATATTTCCTTTTTTAGATTTTCGAGTTTTAGGCTTTCCTATTTCTCGGATTGTCGTTTTTTTTTCGAATATTTGATTCATCGAGTTTTCAATTTTTCGATATTCGAATTTTCAATTTGTTTCCTTTTCGATTTCTAGATTTTTCAATTTTTCAATTCTCCGCATTGTCTTTCTACTTTTCGATTTTTCGTCTTTTGATTTTTCAATTTTTACATTCTTCAGTGTTTTGACTTTTCAATTTTTTTTAATTTTCGATTTCTGAAATTTTCAATTCCATTTCTCAATTTTTCGATTTTTCAATTTTTTGATTTTAGATTTTTCGGAGTTGAGGTAAAAAACAAAAATCGTTAGATCAAACTTTATAATTTTTCAAAAAGCGGGATTTGGGCTTTACTTCAAGGGCGAGGGAAGTTCTGTCGAAATAACGTTCGACCAATTTTTTAGCAATAATTCTTTGAAACTTAGCACAAGCGTCGAGTTTATCCACCCCTACCTAAATTCTAATGACGTCACCTCAAAAGTTTGCTAAAGAAATCGTACTCACAATTTGTAAAATAATATTAGTTACAAAAATTTCTCATACACATTTACACTTCTGAGTGAGATAAAATTACTCTTAAGTTTGCTAAAGAAATCCTACTCACAATTAAAGTAGTAAAATAATATTAGTTACAAAAATTTCTCATACACATTTACACTTCTGAGTGAGACAAAAGTACTCTTTGGATTTTTTTTTTTTTGTATAGAATGAGATCTATTATCTAGCCAGCTTTAAATTTTAAAAACTAAGGCTAATACTTATTGAAGTGATTTTGTTGTCTGCTTTGGAGCAACAGACTAAACTGCAGACTTGGTTCGAGAATAACATTTGAAAAGAGCTCATAGAAATTCAAAACACGTTAATCTCACGCCTTCAGCTGAAAAATATTTAATAACACGATGTAATAAATTTATTCTTTTAATATATGTCGACGTACGTTTGTTATAAAAGCGAATAAACATGAAACTTTACATTAGCGTTCGTTACTAGAACAACATAAAAAAATAAATTACTAAACTAACTAATACCTGTGTAAACCATAATTTATACAAATAAATTTAACACCGTGTTTAATTAAAATTTACATACCTAATTACCAAAATTTAAATAAATAACAGCGATATTTTTCGTTTCTATATATTTATTGCGATATATATCAAATCTGTATTACTTGCAGAACTGAAAAATATTGTTAACTCAACTACTTTTTC